CACACACACACACACACACTCACGCGCACACACGCACTCTCTCACACACACACACACACACACACTCACAGACACACAGACACAGACAGACACACACGCACACACACACAGGACAGTTACAAACATGATTTTCTACTCGCTCTAGCCAATCATAGGTCAGACAGCAACATTCTCATTCTACAGATCATCTGATTGGATAAACTCCTGTAAACGCCCATGAGTGCAGGATGATGTCATCAGTGTTTCCGGTCTGTTCTCCTGGAAACAAACCTGCTTGTTTATTGTGCTGATGTTTAGTAGTTCACTAGATCAGGGATTCCCAGGTGTTTTCCATCAGCTGAACCCCTGTAAGCTGGAATCTTTACTTGAAGATGTTCAGTTAATATTTCTATAATTTAAGGACACATTTGCATGTTCACGATTCTCTGATCTCAGTTAAAGGGATAGTTCACCCAAAAATGAAAATTAGCCCATGATTTACTCACCCTACAGCCATCCTAGGTGTGTATGACTTTCTTCTTTCAGATGAATACAATCGGAGTTATATTAAATAATGTCCAGGCTAATCCATGCTTAATAATGGGAGTGGATGGTAGCCCAAAATTTGAAGTCCAAAAAATTGCACCCATCCATTATAAAAGTGTCCCACATGGCTCCGGGGTTTTTCTTACACAAACGCATCACGTCACTTCAGAAGGCCTTTATTAACCCCCCCGGAGCCGTGTTGATTAGGGGTGCTCCGATTGATCGGCTACCGATCACTATCGGCCGATAATCACGTTGGGATGATTGATCGGCGGTCTCTAAAAAAGGCCGATCTCAAGCTGATGACGCTGCTGTGAGAGGGTTGGCACGACATGGATTTGAAATCAAAATAATGGATAAATGTTGTGTTTGTGGTAAACAGCCATGGATCAGGAGCGGACTCTAAATAGTTATAAATTATAAAAAGAAGGCTTTAAAAAGATGGGTATCGGTGATCGGTATCGGCAGATACTGCTTTCTGTGATCGGCCTCAAAAACCCTGATCGGAGCACCCCTAGTGTTTATCCATTATAAAGCATGGAAGAGCCAGGACATTATTTAACATAACTCCGATTGGATTCATCTGAAAGAAGAAAGTCAGATACACCTAGGATGGCTTGAGGGTGAGTAAATCATGGGCTAATTTTCATTTTTGGGTGAACTGTCGTTTTAATGGTTAAGACGTAGCTAAACAAATAAAATATTTAATCTTTTATATTTAGTAGGCATTTTATTTTAATTTTATTATTTTAAAATTGATTTATTTTGCTTTTACATTTTAATGATTAAATTAATTTTAGTCACATGACATTCAGGTGAACAAATATTTTATCTTTTTTTAATGTGTTTTTTTACTATTTTAAAATTGATTTATTTCAGTCTTAAATTTTGATGATTTCATTCATTTTTAGTCACATGACATTCAGGTGAACAAATAATATATTTAGACAAATAAAAGTTTATATTTATATATGTTTTTTATTTAGCATTTTAAATTGATTGTCTTTTATTTTACAATGAATCATTTGAATGACTTTTGTTAGATATTGTGATGTGAACAATATGAAACAGATGTTTTTATATTATTATTATTAACTCGAGAAAAAAATGAAGACAGAAATATATCACTACTGTAATGATACAATAGTACTATAAAATAAAAATAAATGTTTGATAATTATAATAATAACTGTATTTTCCACTACAAGTTACAATAGTGAGGTCTTAACTTCTTCACTTTCACATGTTGAACCCTCAAGATTTTATTTTATTTATTTATCTATTTTTTAAATTGCAGGAAGACCTTAAAGTCTGTGTTTAATTGACAACAGGTTTATAAATGCTTCTTGTTACAAATCTGGCTTCTGCTTCCAGCCTTTTGAGAATTGCACTAAACCAATATTGTGCTTTCAATTTTTTTTCATTAATTGTGCAGCACTATTTATTTATTTTAAATATACATTTCTATGATTTACTTATGCATGCATGCACGCACGCACACATGCTCAAAAAGCATTCTTTGCACCTACTAGCCAATTTCCATCAGCTCACAGACCCTGCTGTAGCATGCAGACCCGGTGTGTGTGAGTGTGTCGTACCCTGACGGCGAGGCCTGCGGGCGTCAGCTGCTGCGTGTTGCGCTCGTTTAGACAGTCCTCGCCCATTAACGAGGTGAGGTGCTGCAGGCAGTCGGCATGACCCTGAGCCGCAGACACATGCAGCAGGTTGCTCCCGTCCTCGTCTCGGATGCGCTCCAGGTTCTCCGCCGCCAAGTGAGGCTGCAGACACACACGGTCACATCACGTCATCAAACAGAGAATTGAGCCGGTCTTGATATGTAGGTCACAAAAAATCTAAATATTGAGAAAATCTCCTTTAAAGTTGTCCAAATGAAGTTCTTAGCAATGCATATTACTAATCAAAAATTAAGTTTTGATATATTTACGGTAGGAAATGTACAAAATATCTTCATGGAACATGATCTTTACTTAATATCCTAATGATTTTTGGCATAAAAGAGAAATTTATAATTTTGACCCATACAATGTATTGTTGGCTATTGCTACAAATATACCCCAGCGACTTAACACTGCTTTTGTGCTGCAGGGACACATATATCATAAAGATACTTGTGTTTCTGAATAAAGCAGTAATTGATGTCATAAAATCACAAGTCTGTTTAGATTTAAATGTCAGAATTACAGCGTACATGAATAAAAATCACAAACATGACACTTGTAAATTAAATAATTTTATATATACAGATTTATTCAGTAATGTGTCTTTTTCAAATGGTTTATGAAAACTTAAATACAAGGAGCTCTAAAAGATTTTTTTGTATTTTTACAGCTCTTTTGCTTTAGACCATCTATTAATGTTAAATCCACAATTGAAATGTTAAGATGTCAACTGCATGTGTCCGGAAAAAAAAAAAACAGCAGATATTGATTTTATTATAGTTATTTCAAGGCTTTCATAATGTTTATTAGTTCTAACAAAATAGTTTTTGCTCAAAACTAACCAAAATAATTTGGTTTATAATTTCCAGGAGAGACTTGGTGTTGTTTCAAAACAAAGGGAAATATATATATCGGTATCGGTTATCGGCCAAAATGATTTGAAAAATATCGGCAAAAATCTAATATCGTGCATCCCTACTTGAGATGTACTTTTTTTTTTTTTTTTCATAAAAACTGTGTAATAATTTTTTGCTTTTTGTAATTAGAGAGAATTTTATTGTACCAATTAATATTTATGTAATAATTATGTACCATTTTTCCCATTGAAAGGAATGCAATTTTTTTCAAATTTTTAAAAATTTCATTTTCAATTACTGCAGTATTTCAGGTTAAAATAGAGACTAGCTGTGCACTTTTCTTTCTGCATCATGGCTGATTTATAGATTGTATACGCAAATTATTTTGCTGTATTTTCACATTTTGTCCTATTTCCCATTCATTTCCTATGGTGGTCATTTTTGACCGTGAAGACCACAAGTGTGATTTTATTTTTTTTTTTTACAACCACCAGCCTTTCCAAACATGCCCTCAATTTTTTTGTGTGTTCACAAACCAAATGCCATAAAAGTCACCAAATTTCGTACCGTTCCAACAAAGCAAAGATTTTTTAAATTTCAAAATTTCAAATTTTTTGGTCAAAAGTGACTGAAGAGGCCCTGATGTATCAAATATGAAACACCCGGGAGAACTGCGACGTCACTTGACATGCACGCGTCGTTGTCGTGTGTAATCAAGGAGGTTCTGAACAACTCAGTCGAATGTATTTTATTACAGTTCACGCTACCATTGCTATTATTAACCCTTTACACACTGTGTAGCTGTCGTCGTCTTTTAAGACAATTTGTTCACAGTAGTCCGTATACAGATATTTGGTTGTTTATGTTGCTTTGCGTTGCAAATGGTTGCGTTGTTTGCATTTCGTCTGCCTGTCTAGTGCTTCAATCACATCTCGAGCGTCAAAACCATAGACTGTATAAAAACATGGACGTAGTGTCCGTGACGTCACCCGTAGGTTTCTGAAGAGCGTTTTTGAAGCTCAAAATGGGCGGAGCCGGCCGTCGCCATCTCGGCAGCGCGTCACTCCCGGATAATAGAAAATGGGCAAAAAGGCGGGAGCTGGTTGCTGAAACCACGCCCACCTAGCTCGACGGTGGTGACAGCAGCGGCAATCCACCTGTCACTCAAGTGGCCACGCCCTTAATTATGCAGAACTTTAAGGCTTAATATAATTTAAACGGATGAGTTATAAAAAAATTCACTCCCCTCACAGTTGTCATGAAGGGCAAAATTAGCTATATAGACCAAACCCACTGTTTGAACCAGGCTGTAAACATGTTTTTTCTGCTGTAAAGTTGGGCATTTTAACATGGGGGGTCTATGGGATTGACTGTCTTTCGGAGCCAGCCTCTAGCGGCCAGTCGACGAATTACAGTTTTAGTCACTTCCGTATTGGCTTCACGAGAGAGAGCTGGAGGTTGCGCTTGGTCAAAACACATGAAAAGGCATGTGTGGCTACAGTGTGATGAAGTCAGCCAATCACACTTCCGTCTCTGCGAGGGGACACGCCCCTTCAAATTGAGAGAGTGAAAATGAGGATAATACTGGTGCAAAAAAACGGTAAACTTTCTAAACTAACCTCGATAAGCATCATATAAAAATCTGAAAGTTAATAAATGTCGGGAGCAGATGGCGACGGCTCTTACCAGCAGAGAGATCTGTCCTTCTCTCACGATGTTCAGGATGTTCTGCGTCTTCTTGGCTTCTTCGTCGGCTTCTCCAAACGTTCTCCAGGGCTTGTCCTGCTTCGGGCCTTTGGCCGGCTGAAGAGGGAACGCAGCCGAGCCGCCGTCAGGTTTGTCGAGGTCCGGCTCTGATCCGTGAGCGCTCTGTGCTCTGAGGTAGTCCTGATCCACAGACTTGGACTTCCTCATGTGGGGCCAGCTGACGGGCGAGAGAAGGCTCTCAGAGAGCACTAGCGTCGCTCCTTTACCGCCGGCGCTCCTCTTCTTCAGGCTGGCCGTCTGCTGACTGGACTTGATGTATGGCACGTCCAGGATCTCGTCCATGTCCAGGTCGTAGTGCTCCAGCTCTCCGAACAGAGCTCCGTTCATCGGCAGGCCTCTGCTCTTGTCCTCTTTGCTGCTCTTCCCCTCGGCCTCCGGCTCCGACTCCTGCGGCTGGTGTTTGAGGGGAGACACGCGCTTGACCGGTCTGAACTTGCTGTAGACGTCTGCGACGCCGGTGGGCTTGATTCCCGCTCCGCCGTGTGACGCTGTGCTACGAGCCCAGTTGATGGACGGAGCTGAAACACACGAGAGCGAACCGTCGTGATACGAACATCTTACAGACTCTAAGACACGAATATGAGCGTCTACGCTAAATGAACCATAACCGAATGAGCTGCGTTTACAATCACTGTAACAAGTCAGGGTTATTTCTATAGTGCTTTATACAGCACAGACTGTTTCTATGCTAATAATTAAATCATAAATTAAATAATTTTAAAATAATAACAAACAAACACAATAAAACACTGACTAAAATTAAATTAAAAAGTAAAAAAAACACTAAAAAACACTAAAAATTTATTAAATCGTAAAAATTAAACTATGAAATAAATCTTACAATAAAAATAGATTGTTACTAAGCTGCTTCACAGCAATAAATAAGAAATTGAAATGAAGTTTAAATTAATAATTTTAAAATAAACACAACCATCAAAATAAATCTCACTAAAATTGTAAATTTAAATAATGTAAATGTAAATAAAAAAATAAAAAAAATAAAGAAAAATTGATCAAATCAGAAATGTTAAAATCAGAAATATTAAAATAGAAACAGATTGTACTAAGCAGCTTCGCAGTAATAAATAAGAAAATAACAGAATCAATAATTCTATAAATGCATATTTATAACTTTAATATCCACATCAAGCGGTTTAACTAGAGCAGTGTTTCCCAAACGAGTCTCACGAGCTAATAAGTCATAAAAATTAAAAGCTGAAATAAATTCATTTTGTAAAATTATGCAAAATAAAACACTTACACAAAATTAAATAAAAGGTACAATTTAAATACGTTTAAAAGAAAAACACTAAAAATTTTATAATTCATAAAAGTGAAGTCTAAATAAATTATTTTAAAATAAAAACAGATCGTCTCAAAGCAGCTTCACAGTAATAAACAAGAAAAGAACAGAATCAATTATGCAAACTTCATTAAATATGAGACTAATTCAATTTCAGCTGTAAAGCAGCTCTACAGAAGACAATAGTCATTATTCAGATCAATTCAGTTCAATTACAGTGTTACTGCAAAATTAATTAATTCTAAAACAAATTCAATTAGTTTTTTAACTATTAAGCAGTTCTACAGAAGCCAGTAGTGTCATAATTCAGCTCAATTCAGTTTAGTGTTGATTCAATGGAGACCAATAACAGTGTCAAGGTTGAAAAGTTCAACAAATTTGATTCTTAACTGAGCTTCAGTTATGAAGCAGCTCTACAGAAGGCAATAGTAATGTTTAGAGCCTGACCGATGTGGGTTTTTTGGGGCCGATACCGATACCAATATTAGGGCGTAAAAAATCGGTATATCGGCCGATATTTTTTGTGTATATTATAGTGCAGTACCAGTCAAAAGTTTGGACACTTTCCCATTCGTGTGTCCACACATTTGACTGGTACTATATATAGAATACAGTATATACATAAACAGAATATATATACATAAACACATTTTTTGCAATGATCACTCAAATGTGGTGATCAAACACTTATAAAAATTCGGGGGATCCCTTCAGCTCAAGGAGCCCTCTCGAACGCCACCCTCCGCGGTAGCCCCCCGGGATCGCTTGATCAGTCGGCGCCGGACCGCGAATTTAACCACCACTAACTCTCGAACCCCGGGGGCTATCGACGCGGGGGTGGTCTCATTCGAAAGCGGGCCTCTAGACGTACACTCGATTCGCGTT